CTAAGCGCAATGGTCCGGCTGATGTGACCAAAAATTTATCCCCAAAACGTAAAATGATGCGGCTTTTTAACACTTTATATATCAACATGGACATCTCACCTATCTTTTTTGAACAATTCCACAACTTTACACCAGGTATTTATACTGTTATTCCTCAAAGTCAGCACTCATTGAATTTACATTTCAAATCATGTGGCGTGCGCACGCGTAATGTCACCGGATATGTTGGCAAATATATTGATAAGTTTCAGTCATCGCACTGATTGCTGGTGCGGCACTAGCCACAAGTTCCCATCTCGCTTAACACTACGTGTAACTAGTCGGAGAGCCTGGTCGGTTTACCTACACTATATAGTCTCGGCCATTAGTATTACTAAATAATTACTATACTCTAGAGTCTAGACTATAGCCGGCGCGCGCTTCATCAAGTTCATGCATGCTGCCTTGCGGTCATGGCCATGGCATGTGCTAAACAATATTTATTTTATTATATTATTATAATATAATATTTTATCCATAACTTGTTCATTTTATTTGTATACAGTATTTTTACGTACGGTAATTGGGCTATAGACCAATAGTAATACAATACAAAACAATACAATGAAGCTTTATTACATTTTATGAGTTCTAATTGATAATAAAACTACGGAGCTGTACTGCCGTACCCGTAGCCACTGCGTAAATATTTAGCAATAATATCAGCTCTTGACTAAAGCCCTTCAATTTTCGAAGTTTACTATGCCCCGCCCACCATGCACAGCCTGGCACAGAGCTATATTACTATTAGTATTACTATTAGTATTACTATACTAGTACTAGCAGGAGTAAGATAATATAGGTAGATCCTATATTATCTTACTCCTGGTACTAGTACTACTAGTTAAAACTTATGATACTACAATCGCCTAATTAGCCATTGAACACAACCTCCAACATTGTGTCCCTCGTATATTGTAGTGGGTTCTCTGCTACCATCTGCCATCGGCATCCCTGTGGCGTAGCGTAGGGCTGTACATTAGTCCGAGTTACAAATATCAATATATTCAATTTCTGATTGCGTGTGTCAATATTATATATTTGTTCTTTATTCTCATTAGCCTTATATCTATTCCAGCACTTATCTAATGGATTGTCCGTTCAGTGTGACAATACGGCCTACTTCAGATGGACAAAAGCTACTTGTGAAAACTGTGAAAAGGGAACACAACCACGAAAATTCAGAGGTATGCTAAAGTCTCGTTGAGTGTTTCAGTGTCATATTTTCGCAGGGGCGCAGTCAGGGGCGTTCTAGCGAACCCCCACCCCACATGTTCAGAAGTTCTGCTCAAATGTATACAAACTGTTTTAAACCCAATTCAAATTCCAAATACTGGTGGTGGTACGTAGAGTATTAAGACAAATGAACAAAATTAGCAACAATGAAAAGTTCCATCGATCCTCATTATCAATTGCTTTGCAGCATTATGCAGCGTTCATTCGGTGTAGTAGCCATATTAGCCTAGATAGCGGTGCGTATATTATGCCTATGAGCGATACCGCACGGATATATTTGCTAATATATTGACTAATCGTGCATCAATAAACTCAATATTCACAGAGCTTGTGGCTAAGACATGTGTCTATATGTATCTAGATTTCTAGAAATGTAACTCAATTCGTTCTCCAGATATGAGAATTATTACACTTTCTTGCTGCCTATAGCGTAATAGAGTACCGAAGTGTGACGTCACGTTGGCAAGACAACGCACGGGCTGGTTCTACACAAGCCACGGGCTCATAAGGTTGACTGCAGTGAAAATGTTCGTGTGAGTACGCTAGAAACACAGAGTGGTGTTGCGCTTGCAGACAGCGTAAAGCATCCGTTAGCAAGTGGATCTTACCAATTTTTATGTAAAAAAAAAAATGAATAAAAAAATGTATTTTTTTAAATTTGTCTGTTTGTTGTGTGTTGCCTTTATTATATGCATCTTTGGAAATCCTATAAAAACTGCAAAAATTGACTCTCAGAATGATGGCTTACAACATCGGGTACAAAACACGACACGCAGTGTAATGTGTACCAGAGCAACATGATTGTGTTTAAACCAGCAGGTCGTTGTCATGCACACGGTGAGCGTCATCACTTCGAGTACTCTATAGCGTATGCGGGGGGGGGTCACATCTGTATACAATGCGCCAGATAGGGTCTTGTTTGAAGTTGTTTCCGGTGTTTATGCAGCTGCATATGGCGTTTGAAAGCTGGGCGCAGTCTAGGATGGCGCATTTGGTTCGATGTATCGTGGCGCGAATGCGTCTAATAGTATCCAGAGAGTATAAAGAAGGAGAGCGTACAACGGTGAAATGCTGAAACCATGTTGCAGTATTAGTCGAATTAATAAACTTTCCCCATTTTATTTTGACGATTCTTATTATTGAGTATCAGTATTTAAAACATTGATTAGCTGTCCTACCTTGTTCATATCAAACAAACCGCATGTCCAGGGGTCGAAATTAGCGGTATCCCGATATCCGCGGGATACCAGATTCTTGTGTTGGATACCAGATTTCAATGCTTGGTATCCCGCCGGGATAGTAAAAAAAAATAGTCAAAATTGTGGTAGTGGTTGTTGAGTTATCAACTTTATACGGCACCGCATAAATGTGATGTGTTTTAAAATTTATCTCTCAATTTTGCCAATAAGAGGCATGCATTGCACTATGCTATTGTGATAAAAGCAGGTTATTAAAATATGATCTCAGCTTGTTTACTGGTACAGTCAAATCAGTCTAAAGCTTTAGTTTCACATTTTCTGTAATATATTTGTATGATAATGCATTGCGTTTTACCATTTATTTCTTAATTTTGCTAGTTTACTACAATCTGATCTTAAAGGGAGAGTTTACTCTAGGTTCTAGGGTTATTTTCAGCTAATTTAGGTTATAATTACGCTACATAAAAAGTTTCATGGTTCTATCACCATTATAAATATTATTAAAAAATGTTTTAAAACTAACGACAACAGTTTGATTACAACGACGGTGGCGCCACTTAAGCTCACCACTTTCCAACCAAGGGCTACAGACCGAGGGTGTTTCTTATATTCATTTAAAAGCAAAAGGGTTGTAATATCTTATAAACGACATATAGTTTCAGTTATAATATGGATAAATTTGCCCTAAAATAAATATCGTTCGGTTAAATAGCATTTAGGTATAAATATAATTGCACTTTTGTGATTAGCCCTCGGTCTGTAACCTGCAAAACAAATTGTCAAATACGCAACTTTTTCGGGGTGGCAGCACGGTCGCGGGTGTCATGGCGCCGTTCAAATTTCGTAGCGTTGATGTGTAAATAATTATAACAATTAAATTAGGTATCTGGTAACAAATACGTGTGGGTATAGACGATTTGTTATACAGTAAGTACAGTATTATGCAGTAAAATCCTAGAGGCTACTGTCCCTTTAACTTGTTTACTGGTATAGTCTATTCTGTCCTTAATGTTGAGCTTTCATTTTACATTTTGTGATATAAAAACGTACAAATTTTACGCACAAAAATGATGTTGTTTTTTTACTTGATAAGCACTAAGCCAGTAGTTTGTTTGATCAATTTGCCAATTAGGTAGTAAATTCTATCTCCAAGTAGGATTGTTGAAAGCTGCAAAACATGCATATCCCCGTAAGGCCAAAACAAAATATAGGTTACAAAGCCTGGCATATACTATGGGAAATACTACTGCTGAGTGCTGAGTCTGAGAGGGTCTATGTCCCCCAGGGTACTGCCGGAACGTACCCTGGTACTATCTAATATGGATTATGCCGGACCGTACCTCGCCTACTCCACTAACGAGTCTAGGGAGTCGCCTACGCCTACTCCTTAACCCTAACCCTAACCCTAATCATATCAGATAGTTACCCGGGTACGTTCCGGTATACCGGACCGTACCCAGGGTACGTTCCGGCAATACCCTGGGGGACATTTACCCTATGAGCAATACTACTAGTACTAGTACTAGCTCCAAGAATTGAAATTTCCTAACTATTGTAAGGTATAATGGACAAAACAGGACACTTTTTTAAGTATTTTCACCCATTTTTGTAGTCATAGCTTCTACAATATCTTGACCAATTTATCAAACGAAAGTTGCCATTCAAGTATAAATACCCGGCTAACTTCGCGGGTATTACACGACATCATTTTGTTTACTCAGCATTATATATGCCCGTATTTCTGTCCTTTAAAACAAGCCCAAGATCATTCTTCTGTGTGCTTGCATATAGCAGGACGAGTAAATCTAAGTTGATTAGTCACAAAAACAGTACACTTTCGAGGTAGTTTGCCATGCGCGGATGTAAACATGTTGGGGCTGCACTTGTCCGCGGCGCTTTGCATGATGGGATTGCCGTAAATACAGAAAAAAGAAATGAATTTACGGTGCCGTAAATATAGCCACGGTGACAGTAAAATCTGTCTACCTCGGATTTGCACACCTCTGAATATCGTCTTGGACAGACAAGATCGGATATATTTTTTCAAGTCCAATTGATTCTTATATAAAAATATCGTTGTAGCTCGGAAAATATTGAAATGTTGAAGTAGAATGCATTATCCATGTAATCTTTGGTTGAATAAGTTTATTCAGTATATATCTGTTAGGGTCTTTTCGATAGTTTGCCTTCTTTTTATGATTTGGGAAAAAGCCCATCCAAAAAGACAAGTGGGCAGGGCCGGGCATGATACCTGGTCTATTTAGGGTAACATTTACCTAAATATTGATATATCATCAATATACGAAATGCTGTTTCATGAATGCTATTTAATCATGTACAAGTATTCATTTTACTTTCCCTTAGGAGTGGTTAAGACAGATGCCAAAAATGCGACGCAAAGTTCTGTTGACTCGACCAACGAAAAAGATTCTACCGGACCTATCTACGGAATCCCTCGCAAGCGAGTATGATTGTCTAGAAGTTCTAAAATTATTCTCTGTGTATTCTCAGATGACTTATGAATCCTATACACGACCCACACATCTTGCCACACACTTGGCAGCTGTTTCCAGGGGGTAGGGGTGGAATTTTTCCCTCTTCCCGGGACCTTGCACGCTCCTTGCGTATGATTTGTTTCCTCTCGACTTCTTGGCGTCTGACCGTCTCACAGTACTTAGACAACACCGTCGTAAACAACACCCCTCCAGGTGGGTCTCAGACCAGCTAGCCTTTGCCAGTCATCGGTGTTAATGTCACATTTCTTCAAGCTAGCTTTTATATCCGGGGGGATCGTCAAAACGAGTTGGGATGTCGAAGCTGGGGGTCAAAGGTCAAAGGTCAAGAGGTGTAAAAGAAGGGGGAACATTCACTCCTTAACTTAAGGTATAGGGAGGAAATGCAGAATTGCGGCACAAATCTAAACGGCTCGACCTAGGCTCGTGATAGTTGGTGTATAGCTTCATGGTAGGAAAAGCCATCACTGTGCCGAAATTGGAGGTCACAGGTCAAAGGTCAATGGGCACAGGACAGATTTTAGACATTTTCTGAGGACATGGTCTGACGGAGCGATTGAAAAACTTTTTTGTTTCAGCGGTGACCTAGCATTTTTATGGCATTATTGAAAGGACCATGAAATCTACTTTCTGCTGACATGCGAAGAGTAAGTGTCAGATAACTTTTTGACCCTCAAGAGGAGGGTTAAACATGGATTTGTTGACTGTCTGTTAGAAAGAATTTGACTGCCGGGTTTGCTAGTAGAATCTATACATGCCTGGATGTATGAGGCTACAATGTCACAGTGAAATTTCAAAAGCTAAATTTGGTAAAATCGTATAATTTCTATGGCATTCTGTACTGTCAGTATGTTACATGTAACGTATGCCACTGCCAGTGCATGTGTTGGTGGTACTGTATAGTTTTTGCCTGCGTTAATTGGTTACAGGTGGCAGCTCTCTATTGCAGCCTGTAGGCTTGCGTAGGTAAATGGATGAGTGCTTACCTATTCTGTCTTGCAAATAGTTGTTGCTACTACGTACGATGGGAGCTTCCATCTTTAATCTGAAGACACTTAAACGTATGCGCCATCTCGTGGCAACTTTCATAACGATCCCAACGAACATTCCTTTGAGAAGGTTCCTGATACCATCCCTGTGCATTCCACTGTTTCGGCGTGTATGTGAACACATTTGGGACTAACAGGGTTTACTAGAATCCCACCACTCCACCACAGAGTCACCGCAGTAGACGTTAGATGAGCGCTGTCGCTCCGCGGCACTTGTTTAAATATATTTGAGTTTCAATCCTTGTTAGTTTTTGGTTTAGCAGGTAGGACAAAAACGAACGAATGGGATTTGATCAGGAGTCTGATTTGATCACGTAATGTTGATGACATCATAAATATACTAGCCAATCAGAAGTACTGTACGGTGAAATAGCGGAAGTGGATACTCTGCCATATACTGTTAAATATCCACTGCAAATATTTAATTATATCTATTTATTATGTCTTTTAATTCCGAGGACCACAGAGATAGAAGAAACAAAATTAGAGAAATTAGTAAGTAATAAATCAAGAATGCTGCTACAGGATGTCGTACATAGCACATCGTAGTACGTTGCACATCTAAAAATAGACCTCGGTTCAGTGTTGCATTGAGTGCCTACCTACTCGGTAGGCACTCGATGCAACACTGAACCGAGGTCTATTTTTAGATGTGGGTATTGCTGCGTACAACTGCGTATCAGGGTCACAAAATATAAAAATATAAACAATATTTAACTATAACATCCTAGCAAAAGAACAAACGTGCTTCAAACTGCTCGCATTTCTTTTGTCTCTGGACAAGAAACAGAAGTGCAGATGCGACTTCGATTCAGTGTGTTGCATCGAGTGCCTACCCGTCGAGTAGGCTGAGTAACAAGTTGAGACAGGGAATCATTAGCACACAAATCGAACAGCTAAATACATAAATGAGTGTCTCGTTGGCCAATCACTCAGTAGGACTGCCAATCGATTCCAGGTAGATTAAAGTCATCGCAAAAATTTGTAGGTGGCCAAGGCTCATTATATAACGAGAGAAGAAGGCATTCACATAATCATCAATTTTAATGAATTTATCAAGTAGCCTTTTTGAGGGTAGGGAGTCCGTTGGACTCCCGTGTTCAAAAGTTAATTTCTATCCCTGGAATCGTATTTTAATAAAATCAATGCACCTTTGTTTAGGATCAGGATGGATAATTGGATTGGTAGTGTAGGACCTATATATATGGACTACAATGCAACTACACCAGTGGACCCAGAAGTTATCGATTCCATTCATTCAGCACTAATTGGTGCTTGGGGGAATCCCAGCAGCTCTCACAGCAGTGGTGAGTGCACTATTGTTCTGCCTGCAGAGGTGTGTACGCAGGACAAACATAGCTGTTTATAGGCTATACGAAGTAGCTTTTGTTTATAGCTTTTGTTAGTAGCTAGGACTTGGGTGGAAAAAAGTTATGTGAAAATGTATTTTAGCGTTAACTTGCATGTACATAATAAATATTTAAAAAATATATACGTGTATGGGCATACACTATATTTTACCAATAACTCTGGGTAAAGTTTGTGTATTTTTCTGCACTTGTTAGCAGGTTGTGTGTTGCTTCAGCACATTGTGATATAGCGTATGTGTCGGCCATGCTTTTCTACCTGCAGGTGTGAAGGCAGCAGCGGTAATCCGGGAAGCGCGCAACCAGGTGGCGCTGATGATAAATGGTCATGTTGATGGTAATTATAAACACTGTTATATGTTGTACTGTTGATCAACTGGAAATATATGTATTGTTAA